TTCTGAAAGAATTTCTATGCAAAAAAATACTACTTTAATCATTTATTTCATTTTCTATAAATAAAAATCGTCTAACTACGATAAAACAAAGAAAAATCAAGTAACAAATATGAAAATAAACAAGGAAGTATCAGTAACACGAGAATTTATTGGTGCGAGAAAACTTAGCGTACACGGGAATACCCGACAAAAGGCAGGCCCCTAATATTTCAATCAAATCACTATTTCTAATTTAAAAAACACAAAACTTATTTGATATTATGAAAGTATATAATAAATACAACTTACCAATATTTTTTTTATTCTGGTAGCACCAGGAGAAATATTTTATTTAATTTCACAAAAAATGTTAATTTTCAACCCTAATTTATATGTATGCACTCACAAATAGATGAACTTCAATTGGCGACAAACCCAAAAATAATTTCAAATTTATTACACTAAGTAAAGTGAGAACTAACAAATGTCTTTTTATCACGTTTCGGCGAAAAAAATTGTTACCAGATGTGAACAAGTGAATTACCCGAAGCCCGCCTTCTGTCGGACATTCCGGCTAGAGGGTTAAGGAGGTCCTTTCGCCACCAATGTTAAATAAAAAATATTAGATTATGACTAAAATTAATTTTTTTCTAATGGTAGATGTCCTTATTTATCTAATAGTGAACTTTTAACTATACCTTACCGTGCAAATTTTTGAGTAAATTTTTTTTTTAAAATGTGTGTGTTTGTACAGTGTCTTATTAGAAAGTAAGACTTCAACAACAATTTTCGAATTATAATTAATTTTACTATTATTTATTGATTAGATGGAGTAAAAAAAAACTAAAAATAAGGTTTTTGAAATATTTAGGTTTTGTTTTTTACAATAAAATATATAGGTTACCGTGGAATTTATTGAGAAATTATTATTAAAAAATCACAAAAAATTTTCAACTAGGTTACTTGAAAATTTTTTGTGATATTTTAATATTATGTTCTCAATAAGTTCCACGGTTTACTATATATATTTTATTATATAAAACAAAATCTAAATATTTCAAAAATCTTATTTTTAGTTTTTTTCTACTCCATCTAATCAATAAATAATAGTATAATTCGAGAATTGTTGTTGAGGACTTACTTTCTCGTGAGGCACTGTACAAATACTCACATTTAAAAAAAAATTCTCAAAAATTTGCAAAGTAAAGTATAGTTAAAAGTTCAGTATTAGATAAATAAGGACTTCAACTATTTGAAAAAAATTAATTTTAGTCATATGCTGCGTTTGAGAATCCACATCGGATGCATTTTTTACATCTCGAGCGTTTTTTTATCCACATCGGACACATCTATCCCATTACATTTACGTATACTGAATCACGTGATCCAAGATTTTTTACATCTCAGATGCATCGGATGTGGATTCTCAAACGCGGCAAATATCTAATAACTTTTTTTTTAACATTTGAGGCGAGAGGTGTGGCGAAAGGACCTCCTTAAGTGGTCAGTATCATCAGGTAATGAAAACAACTTTAACGCTTTAATTTCATTAAACAAATCATTGGAGTCTATATCCTTATTATCCTGATCTGTCAGTCGTTCTTCAAGAACAGAACAACGTATTAAAAGATCACTGTCACTTAATTTGAATATGTCGCTAAAAAAATTCGAAAATATTTATTATCATACTCATTTAATAAGTCAAATCGGTTTTTTAGAGAGCTTAAAGTTTGATCTATAATTTTTAAGAAAAAACTAATTTTAAAGACGGTTTTTGGATCAATAAGGGTCTCATCTAGGTGTTCATAGTCAAACAGTTTTGGTTTAAATTTCCTCCTGACACCGTTGGTAACGGTGGAAAGTCTTCTTCAATTTCGAGAGAGAGAGTGCTACTTCTTTCGCTTGTACAAGAATTTCTTGAAATGATTGGTCAGATCTATATAGCTGAAAGTGATCAACTAAATTTTTATGAAAGAAAATGTCATGCCAAATAATAATTCCACAAATAAATTGAAAATTTTGTAGAGACGTTAAGAGGGAACTCGCTTTGTCTTGCATAAATTTGAAAGGAATTATTTTCAGCTACTTCTAGAAGACTTTCGCAAACCTTAGTTAAATAAAGTTTAAGGGGCTTTATTGCATCAATTCTGCTGGATCATCTTGTCTCACTTAGAAGCTTAAACTTAACCCGGGGACTTTTTTCTCATAACATCCCACCTTTTTGTGGATGACGAAAAAACATTATATAACTCTGTTGGAAACTATCCAACACAATGCAAATCTAGGGAATTATATTATACTTTACCATTGGCAATTAGAACTAGTGATAGTTAGGCTAGTAACTTATTTCCTGCTAGTCACATATATTTCCAGTTAGTGACGTTATTCATATTTTCCGCCATGTTCAACTACATCAAGTAACAAAAAACGAGGCAGGTAGAATTGTCATGTTGTTATGTCATTAATTTATATATATGAAAGCTTTGTAAATCAGAACACTATTTGTAAATAAACCATTTAAAATTCAAACCATTTTATTTATGCACAAGATTAAAAAGTTTATTGTAGCATCTGCTACATTAGAATCGTCATTTACTGTTAAGTTTAAAGGATGAGCCGTACAAGGTACAAAAAGGGCTCTCGGATTCGCATCAAAAATGCGTTTTTGAAGCCCAACATGCTTTCCCTTCATGTTTGCCCCATTATCATAACCTTGTCGCCTAATATTTTTTATATCTAAATTTAATTTTTTCAAAATTTCTGTCACAAATTAGTATATCCCTTCCCCTGAAGAGTCCAGTATTGGATTAAACGCAATAAAACTTTCCTTAACTTCAACCTTTTTTGAAGTGGTGTTAAGGACAACATACCTCAGAACAAGACTAATTTGCTCAGTATGACTAGTGCCTAATGTACAATCTAATATTATTGAAAAATATTTTGAATTGCGAACCATTTCTTAAAATATTGTTTCTTACTTTAGACGACAATAATTCAATTATTTCATTCTGTATTTGCATGCATGAATAATGAGTCATTTTAACAGATTTTTTTGGGAGTTACACACTCGGCTAACGTGCTGTCTCATCACTGAATCAAAAGAGGCAATCATCTCAACAGCTTTAGAAAATTTCCATTACCATGTTCGAAAAGTAATTTAGAAGAACCTTGAAATGATAAGCATTGTGTAGATAAATACTTAACAATCGCAATAATTATTTCCAACACGTCGCGCCAATATTTTTTTTCGGTTTCTAAAATCCGCAGGTGATGAGCATTAACAATCGTAGATGTCTCCGACAATTTTTTTAAATTTACCCAAATTTTCATATAACTGTTGTGTAAAATTGACGTTTCGCGTCTCTTCATTAGCAAAGACAAGTGTCAGATACTCCATTTGTATCACAAAGTATTAGGGGTTTTACAAAGCAACTTACAACAAAACAAAAACTACAGAATCTTTATAAATAGAGTAAATAAGCTAAGTCCTTTCGACTTTTTCTCCATTTGCTAGACTTCTTACAAAGTATTTGACGAAAACTTTCTCTTATCTTTATTACTAGGAAAGCTAAAACTGATGTCTATCAAGGGCGATCACATTTAACCAATATTCTAACCATTGGTGATTCTTTCGGGCCACAAACCGGGGTCGGACGGAATTAAAGCCTTCATCGAAAGTGTCACTTGCAGCAGGTATTTCGGTAGCTGACATTACCGAACTTCTTACACAAGCTGAAATACCTGAAGTGGATTGTTCAAGTGCTGTAGACGAGGATGGTGTCATCGCTTCATCGGGCTCTGCATCAGTAGAAGCTGTTTTGCTGCTACAACCGCCGCCACTTGTTGCAGGACCTCATGTTACCGTAGTCTATTGAAATTTCAGATGGTCCATTTACGGTTACTGATATTACGAATTTAGAATCTTGAGATTCGGTCGATAGTCTCCGTGGAATCTTAAACGTTTTGCAAGAAGTGCTAAGATCCAGCCATTTTTTCCCCTTCTTGTAGTCTCAGTTTCTTTTGCTCGCGAAACTTCGCACCTGAAGGTCTCTTTCTTTCATCCTCTTACTTTATACTAAGTAGAGGGAACACTAACCATTTTATAAAAAATCAAACCGTTGAAATTGCAGTATTCAGCATTTAATTTTTTAGAAAAAAAGTATTAAAAAATATTATATGACAGAATAAAAATAACTTTAAATGTAAAAATTAATGGGATTACTTCTGTTTATGCACTTGTTGCACGGTCCAGTGAACTAACCGGTTTAAAAACGCCTCTGGCGATGCATCGCTTTTATAGCGCTCCAGGCATTATTCATGTCTCAACAGGAAAAATCAAGAAACTACCGCCTGACATGTTCTCGCAACATAGAAATCGGCAGAAACTGGATGATATACTAATAAAATTTCGTGTGTATTTATACCTAATCCTATTTAATTTCTCAACTTTCATTTTAAAATTAATTTTTGTTTTTTGTTTTTTTTTTGCAAATTTTTTTGCATTTTTTTTTATTCTGGGTTTTGGCGCCCCTAAAGGAGCCCTGCAACTCGGTTAAGGAAAAATTATTGGAAATAATATTTCAGATTTAATTTTCTATATATTTTTTAATATCTAAGCACCCTACATCTTCCCTGGAAACTCGTAGGAGTATTAATCCAAAAAAAAAACACTTTTCGTCCGTGTTTCATACAGTTTTTTATTCGAATGAGCTTAGATATTAAAAAATATATAGAAAATTAAATTTGAATTGATATTATTTCCAATAATTGTTCCTTAACCGAGTTGGCTAATTTGCTCAGTATGACTAGTGTCTGGTGTACAATCTAATATTATTGAAAAATATTTGGAATCTACTTGTCTCGACCTGCAAAACACTACTTTCCGGTTTTGTAACGTAAATTACTATTTAGCCTATATCTACATATTATTTTATTTATTTATTTAAAACTATTTAAAAAGGCCAAACTTTTAATAAAATAAAACAAATAGTAGATTAGACATATATTTTTAAAAATCTATGGCATTAGGTAAATATACTTATAAATATCATTCATTTTATGTTTTTCATAAATTTTAATTTGTCTTTACATTTCTCCCTCTGGTTTGTCGATCGCCTGACTTATTCCTCTTCCATTTCATTCTTCTATTTTGAAACCATACTTTTACCTGAAATAATATTCTTATTAATTTATTAAATCCTAATTTATAAAAATATGAAAAGATGAGGAGGATAAATAAAATCTAGGTACTGACACTACAGAAAAAATTGTATTCAATGTTTTAGAAGAACATAAACAATAGTAAACATTGGATGACAAGAAAACCAATAGATTGTAACGTCCTAGTGATAACGCTTGTGTTTATATATACAGTATCGGCCACTGAACATTTTCCAATACACCTTGCACAAGTTCATGTAAAAACTACAGAGAGTTAGCATTGGACGAGTAGGAAACGAATAATATTAGCGTTGCCAGTTGTAACGCCAGTTGACCGCGTTGTAATGGTCGCTCTAATGCTAACTCTCTGTAATTTTCACAAGCACATGGGCAAAACTTATTGGAAAGTGGCCACCAATATTTTTAAATCTCTAATTTTACAATTAAAAATGATGAATAAACTGAAGGTTTATTGTGAAAACTTTGCCGGTTTAAATTGTCGAAATAAATGCTAGAGAAAGCGAAGAAAATTTTGAAAAATTGAAAAAATTCTGCTCTAGGTGAGGCTTGAACCCAGAGGCCGCGGGTTTGAGTCCCGCCTAGAGAAGAATTTTGTTTTATTTTTCAAAATTTTCTTCTGTTTGTTAGCTAATTTTATAGACAAACAGCGCAGAAAAGGAATAATTATGTATGTATAAAAAGAACTTAACTTAATTATAAATTAAAGGAAAAGCTTACTTGTCTTTCTGTTAGATCCAAACCTACTGCAATTTCATAACGTCGCAATCTGGTTAAGTAATTTGAATGTGTGAACTCCTTTTCTAATTCTCTTATTTGCATTTTTGTAAAAGCTGTTCTTTCTTTTCTTGGTTTCATTATATTCTCACCATCCCTTACATCTGAAAAATTAAAAATAGTATTATTTTTCTTATTGCTTAAAGGAGTCATAATCTTTAAAAACATTTTCGATTACTCAAGGTTCAAGATGAATATTGACAAAATTCTACTCAATAGGTAATTGGCGAAGAAAAACAAAAGAAAAAAGAAACCGTTAAAAATTTGACATCTTTTACTTAGTTTAATTTTTAATAATGAATAACGGGGGTGGGTGGATCAGTGGTAGTCTCTGCTTGTGGATCCAAGGGTCCCAGGTTCGAATCCCACCGTTGGCCGGGATTTTTTTATTTAATTTAATTATTTAAAATTAATTCTGATGCCTTGGTAGTTTTCCCCACTCGACCATTCACTGTTGGGTTCTAATTAACAGTGCTGTTCCTAAAGTGGCGCTGGGAAACAGTAAAAAAAGCCTACACAGAACTCGAGGCGAGATGACCTTAGCAGTTAAAGCCGATGTGACACACAAAAAAAAATAAATATCTCACCATAATAATTAACTATTCATAAAATTTACCTAAATTAGTTTACATTTTTTGTTGGTTTATGCAATTATTTCGATTAGTTGCTTAATCCAAATCATACTAAATAAAGGTATACTAAGTATAACTAGTACTACAGGTACTACTGAATTTCTAGTAAATAATAATTGGCGAATAAAAACAATTAACTTTTTAATCCTAATTATGTAGAAACAATAATGCTATTTATCTATACAAAACATTAATTTGCCATTTAATTTGGGCATTGTGTAGAAAAAACCATATTTCTGCAAAAAAGCACCTTATAGAACAATGTTGTCAAATGTTATACCCAAAGGAGAATTTTTTTTTGTAACATTTATGTTTTTTCTCGTAATGCGTAGGCACATTTTATAGCTAAAGAATCAGTTAGCTCATTCGAACCAATTGAATGTTCTAAAATAACATCCACTCCAGGGATACAAATTCAAGATGCGCAGAAGACTGGTGTTTGAATATAGGCGGTTATCATAATATATTGTATTAGACATTCCAAACAAATCAACTGCCAGTGGGAAGATTTGATATATCCAAGGGTTGCGACATACGATGTATTCTGTTTACAATCTTCGAGCATTAAGATACATTTTTTCATAAATTGACAGGCTTGGTGACTATTATTTCGAATAAAAAAGCGTTCAAGATGCAAAACTATGTCGCTACCCCCTTAGATATACCAGACCTTCTCACTGGCAGCTATTTTGTTTGACAGGTCGTTGGAATGTCTAATTGGTTATAGCTCCGAGCAAAGTACGAGAGCCCACTGCAAATTACGACCGTCATCTGATAACGAAATGAAATATGTAACTTTAGCAAATTGCACCTGTGCCAATCCCTATCCTGATCAAAGTCTTCAGCTATAAACTGTGGCGTAGGTATTAGGTGAACCTGTTGAACCGTTATTCGCTCAGTGCGAAGTCAGCAAAGCAATACTAGCACTAGCTGCGGATATTTCGTGCATTTTAGGGCGATATTTTGTAATTTTGGCATATCAACAACACGTATACATTTTACTTTTTTTCAAACAATTAGGTAAAAACAATACAATATACAACCGGAGTTGCTGTATTGTAAACTGTAAAAATATTAGCAAAAAAACATCGTAAATTATAAAAATTTTTAGTAGCAAAGTGGAAATTAAATCAAAGAAATAAATGGATAGCTGTACAGTAAGAAGAAAAATTACCTTTATTTTTGTAATAACAGTAATACTGGAAGTAGCAGTAGACATCAGAAGCTTGAAAATTTTAAATAAACAATAAATGATCATTTTACGATGTTCGTCAAGATCCCTTTAATCTTAAATGTTCAGAAAGAACTAGATTTCTGCCTTTAATTATTGTATTGGCTGGAATGCAATTTTGTGAATTACTGTTTTAATCATTCATTCTATGTTTTGTTTTGAACAAAAATGAAAATATAAATAAAAATCCTTCTGTTTATATATTTTATCTTCAGGCTATTATTAAATGGAATTTTTTATTTTGACAGAATAGCTTAATTCTTTAAAGATAACTTTTTAGACTTCTCATACATTTTCCTAATGTTTTCCTATATTTTATTTTTGATTTTTATTGATTATACTTAGTTTTTTTTTTTTAGTTTAAACGTTAAAAATATATAATAATAATGAATTAATGTTTCACTTGTTTTACAAATCCATATACTTTTATGCCTTGTTTCGTTTTAGAGCCGTCGATGTAGATATGAATCGTATCTGCCACTTCCGACTCTTCTATTTGTTTTGTTATTACTTTATATGACTTATGGAAGATATATCTTGGTAAAATGGAGTCCATGTTTGCTTGAAGCAGTTGGAGCGTATCGAGCGCATCCTGCCAAAAGCGACGTCTCGCCTCACCAGTTCCTACATCAGGTTCTTTTCCAACCGTGCGGGCCGCGGGGGCATGTCATTGTCGTCAGAGCAACCTCCTTGATATAAATTTCAAGGGAGTGAGACTAAGAATGACTTTCATGTCTCTGGTCGGTGGTGTTTTCATGCCTTCTGTTATGTTGAGACATGCTGTTTCTTTGAATTTATTCTAATTTACGGATAGCCTGTCAATTTTTGGGTTTTTGGTATCCAGAGAACTGCACCATATGTCTTATGATAGCCGTGTAAGTCCATACGACGACTCTGGGGGAGAAACTCTAGGTACGCCCCACGGGTCGGCGGCATTGTTCATAAGAAATGTATGCTCTTTTTACACTGTTAAATACCTATATTTTAGAAATAGAAATAACAACTAAACAACTGGATAATAAATTTAATAACTAAAAGAAATTCTATTCGAATTTAGATGCAAGGATGTTTATATCAAGGACAACATTATCAAAGAAAATAATAATGAAATTTCTCAAAGGAGCCGGACATAGTGGCGCTGAAATAAAAAATAAAAATGAATAGTAATACATATATCATTACAGTAAACACATAATTAGCGGTACTTTTGATATGGTTTCACAATTTGCGGTACATCAAAAATATCCCACTCAGTTGCATTCATTTTGAGCGACATTAATTTAAATCGTTTAAGTTTCAAATATTGCGTAAATTAGAATATTTTACATAAATTCTAGATATCATTATAATCAGGGTAAGTACCTACCTACTGATCTAAAAGAAGGTCAAGAACTATATTATTAAAACAAATATGGAGGAAGTAGGTATTGAAAAATTTTAACTCATGAATATTGGACAGATCTCAGACAAAAAAATTGAATTGTTTGTACGAGGGGCAGATTAATCAAGGGTAATATACCAAGACCTTCATTAGTCAGCTATTTTGGTTGCATCTAAATCTCGAGAATATTTTAATATCAATTTGATAAGAGATAATTTTGGCATTAATAACGTGATTAGAGCCAGGGAGCTTTAGCTTGATTAGTAATGACGAAATTATGTCGAATAAAACGGTAACATATTCGAGATATTTAGTAACAACAAAAATAGAAGAATATTAATCAAGGTCGTGTTATATTTGGGACGACTGTTTCACTATACCAAAATATATTGACTATTTCTCTAGAGCAGGGGTTTCCAACCTTTCGTAGAAAAAATCATGTGGGTATTTTGAGCGAAAAGTTCGTTGCCGCTTTCGGCAGATTGCCGCGCTCCGCTACGCGTCTCGCGGGCAACTTTCTATCACTTTTCGCCCTTAATACACAAATAGCTATTGTGCAACAAGAGTGGATGTGATAACCATATACGGCCGATGCGGACAACACTTGAGTTGTACAGTATACTTTTTCTACTACCCACCAAAGAAAAACTTTAAATTTTAAAAATTATTTTAGATTAAGATAAAATAACTAATTTTAAAATTATTTATGACATTTGAGTCTCACAATTAATTATCTAAAACAAATTCCCCTAATATTTCTAACTTGATTTTTTCTTTTTAATCATACTTCAATTTTACACCACCCAAATATTGCTAATGGCAAAATTTTGACAACCAAATTGCTTCTGCCCTCCAGAAATTTCCATATTAATACATTTCATTTTGAAACCCCCTGTATTTTCTTATACTCGTACATTCGTAGGTAGGTAAATGGTAAAAATATACAAATAATATTCGTACTCAAAATTAAGTAGTCTATAAATCTGATCTACAAAAATAGGTAGAGACTAGGGACCACCCAAAAAATCTCAACGCAATATTGTTCATATAAATTGGCATGATTTTATTTTTAATCTCCTTGTCAAACGCTTCATTAATTATATTAGTGATACCCCGATGTCCGTCTCTCTCGCGCAGTCGAACACATGGTATTTTTAAAATTCTTCACACTTTCATCCAAATCTGTGTTTTTATTAGAGCGTGATTTATTTGAAATGGTTTTGTTTGTATAGAGCCTAAATGGGATTTGTAAGTCTATTCGGTTATTTTATAAATCATTTATTTCTTTTAGCTTTTTTTACGGGAGTTGCATAAAAAAATTAACATTAAAAAAATGGTTTTTTTCTCCCTGCCCTTAGTTCGAGTTTTAACCCGTGAAATAGTAATTAAATTTGACGAAATGTTTTTTCCTATAAAACATTTCTATTATTATTATTATTATTATATTCTAGCAGTAACGATTTTTTAAATTCGCTACACTATTATTACAACAATGCTAAGTCTTAGACTTAGAAAGCACAAAAGTCAGTTTTGTTATCCTACTCTGCACTATTCTATATAACCTATTAGATGTGGGTAGATTTCATAACCATTAGAAGCTAGTGATGGAAGCCGTGGCAACTCGTACCTACGTTTTGTACCTGGTAAGATACAATATAAGAAAAACGCTCTAGCAGACAGTCAGAGAAACAACTCTTAACTACACTGTTATTTACGAAGGTGCGATTCATAAGTTGGGACAAAAATTCCTCTGGCTAAAAGGAATATTACAAATTCACAGTTTCCTATAAGGAAGAGGAGAAAATACCACCAATTTAATTTGGCTAAAAAAAACTTCTATTTTTGAAAGAGGTGAAATATTTGGGATTTGTTCTAAATAAAAACTCATCTCAAATTCCTAACCGGAAATATGAATTACCAAGGCCTTCAGTTTTAAAGCGAGTAGATCCATAGATACAATGTTTATAACAATTGTTTGGACTTCAGGCGCATTGACTATTCTTCTGGAGGATGATACTTTTCTAAGTAGTCTAGACAGGAGCTCATCAGACCAGTCATGGCTTCAGATCATGAGTATATCAAGTTCAGTAGAGAAGAGATGGAAGTCGTTGAGAAGCTTCTGGTGTAGTTTTACAAGAATTAAGAGGTGGTAGGTTTTTGTAAAAGAAGTCTTTGGCATAGCAACTAGTGCAGATAAATTATTTGGCGTTACGGGACGGAGAAGGAGAGATAATGTGGATAGTAAGACGTATGATCCCACGGGATCGACCATAACAATTGACTTAAGATTCTTTGACGCTGCTGGGCAGGGAGGTAGGAATAGAGGATGTGTGTTTAAAGCCGTTTGGTCCACGTATCAAGGTATATAACAATTTGCTTATTCGAGGTTCAAGAAGTGATTTGTTGGTTTAATGGTAGATGAATAGGTACTGCCGTGTTTGCAGAGATGGTGTGGATGATTGTAGCGTAGTATCAATGGGCAAAATGACCAAACGGGAAAAAATCTAGCACGGAGAAAAACCCCCTTCTTTACAATACCTATTGTAAACATTTTGAAATATTCTAGCATGTTTTTTTAGAAAATACTAATGAAGCTTCATTCACTTACCTCTAGAGTCATCTGAATAGGACTGAGAATCCAAAGCTTCGTCTATACATTCTTCATCCTCAGTATTCCTACTATTATACTGATTAGATCCATCTTCGTCTATTTTATTGTACTGAGAACAATTGTTGACGTAAGCTCCATTTTCAATGCAAAATCTTTCCTCCTTGCTATACTCTAACCAACTGTAGTTTCTAGGTATACAATATAAATAATCCTGATTATATGATTGGATGTTCGATGCGTTTAAGGAGGGTGCTTCTTTTGGTAGTTCCGAATTTTGTATTTCACTGTGTTGATTGTAATAATCGTAATATGGGGATGTCTTTAATTGGTTTGTCGAACAATAGTAATTTAAAATGAATGAGTTGTTCATAGATTGGATTTCTTCGTATAAACAAGGTTGTTCCATTTTTACATGCCTGTCATCAAAAAACATCGTTCATAAAATTACATCTGCAAACTGAAATTTATATTATTCTTAAAACATAATTTGATATAATTGTGATATAATTGAGCTCCGTTAAGCAAAAAACTACTAACCCGCAAAAATATAATTTTGAGTAAATGCTACTTTAGGCCAATCAAGATGTACATCCGTGCTTGCAAAAGGTCCGGTCATGCTGAATTTTTATGTGCTGTTAGGACCTAAACCAATATTAGAAAACCAGATTTGCAATTTTAAAAGTTCTGTGCGAGCGGCTAAAAAGCCATGAAATGTTTGGACTTTTTTCAGATTTTGCTCAATATCTCAGTGTACCGGTATAGTCATTCTACATACTTTTAAAGAATACTAAATTGGCTACAATTTGGAACTAGGGCGAGCTCTATACAGCCATTGGTTCACAAGATACAGTTCCTCGAAAATAGGCCATGTTTTCCAAAAAGTTATTTTTTTTTCGAAATGGTCACTTATTTTGTGAAATATCTTTTAAAGTACGCATCCCACGCAAATATTATATTAAATGAAGTTGTAGTAAATTTAATTCTATTTCATTTAAGACTACACTGGGCGGTTCTCTCAAAAACGGCAGATAACCATAAAACATAAGTCATAATTGGTTTTTGGGAGGAAATTCAAATAAACTGTTCTCACGTCTTTTTATGGCTTTATTTATTTATCAATCAGTAAAAAAAGAAAAAGATAATATACCTATTGGGAATTAAGTCATCATCAAACATTGTTTTATATACCTACATATTACAATGCAAAATTACATTTACACAAGAAAGAAAAATAGTATAAATCATGTAGGTGTTATGTTTTGATTGCCAAATCATGCCTTTTTATCTTAGATGGTCCGGGCTTGGGCTCGTACGAAGATGTCTCAATAGCTGTGATGGACGCTGGAAGAGGCGCCCAGTCGGTAGTGGGTCATCTTCATCGTCCGAGCATTGTAGCTCCACATCCGTTACTAATGCTCAATTTGCCACCGCATGACTGGCAGAGGAATGAGCAGTGGAGCTCAGTCTTTCTGCACGAGCAGCTCCCAAAGCACTCTTTTTTGCATTTACACGAAATTTTTCGCAGAAAGACAGGAGGTGCAGAATCCATGGTAGTATGGATGGGGGGGACAGTTTCCACCCTCAATCAGTGGATTTAAGTTAACTTCCCGCAACTTCTGCACTTGGAGGTACCACCTTGCTGCATGGTGGCCTGCGGCATCTTCCGTCGGTGGCAAACGGGCCAGGTTTATGCTCGTTGAAGTGACAAAGGTCTTATACCTCAGGAAATCCAAAGTATCCCTCGCGCTGACACTCTCATATAGAGCCACAAAGCACTTGGTGCTTGCTTCTCTCACGGCTTGTGGGGTGGAGTCTAGCCGGAGGAAGACCTCCACTTGCTTAGCAAGTGGTTCACTCTTACTCAGGAGTGTGGTGATTTTGGTCTTTCCTTGGCCAAACGGTGCTGAGGTGGTATCGCCCCCGGTAAACGCCTGGGTGAACAGTACCGTTCTTGATGGTTGTAGGAGGCCGTAGAGTAGTGACAGTAACCAGCTTCGCCCTCCGTGTTCTTCTGAAGGCAGACGTTTGTCTCTTTAGCGCCTAAACCATTAAAAAGAACGAGCAGGTCTACGTCTTTTCCCACTATGACGACCCGATCGGCTACTGTTCTTTCTGAAAGCGCCGTCATGACGATCTCTCGATCCGCATCTTTTTCGGCAACAGCCATTTCTACTCCCTCCTTCTGAAAGGCGTCACAAAAAAGAGTTATTAGGCGTCTTTTGTTGTTCTCATTACCCAATACATGCTCTTGATCAATTTGAATTACTGTGGATTTATCGAACTTGTGTGAGGCTTCAGTCTAGTCTCAAATGAAAGCGAATACTACAACTTCATTTCATATAATATTGAACGTGTTATGCATATTTTAGAAGATATTTCACAAAATAAGTGACCATTTCGAAAAAAATTAACTTTTTGGAAAAAATGGTCTATTTTCGAAGAACTGTATCTTGGAAAATAATGACTGTATAGAGCTCGCCCTAGTCTCAAATTGTAGCTAATTTAGTCGTCTTTAAAAGTATGTAGAATGACTATACCGGTCAGACCCTTCCTTCACTGAGACATTGAGCAAAAACAGAAAAAAAGTCCGAAAATTTGATGGTTTTTTTTTTTTGATACATCGCCGCTCGTACAGCACTTTTGAAATTGCAAATCTGGATTTTTAATATTGGTTTAGGTCCTAACAACATATAAGAAACTCTGAACGATCAGACCTTTTGCAAGCAAGATCCCCTTTTCATCTTTACTGTAAGATCTGTAAAATATCTGATAATATCTTCAAATATTTGGCATACGATTTCCCTAGGTGTAAGCAAGATTATTTTAAATAATGATATGGTTTTTAATATTGTCCACAAATTTGTAAAAAAAAAAATAGTTTGTGGATTATCTGCTTCTTGCAAATCAAGAAGTGTAAGAAAAATAGTTTGAAACATTTTATTCTGTTTAATGCACAAAGTTAAGGTTTTCTATATTAAATCCATCAATGTTCTCTGTGTCTCCTTTTAGATTTTCACAAAAGTGAAGAGCTATGCAATCAGGTGCAGCATTTCTCGGAAATGTTTAACTTTGCCCACTATGGGTTTTCATTTTGGCTAACAGGAAACAAAAACTATTCAAAAAAAGTTTCGTGCCAACCATAGTCTCTTGCCAACCATAGTCTCTTGCCAACCATAGTATCAAACAAGTTGGTGAAATAAGTTCGAATAACAAAAGTTCGAACTAGAAAATAGAAAACAATAGTTTTTTTAGCATAGACATAAGTGTCATTCAGCCAAACACAATTCTTCTAAAGAGAAGACCCTAACTAACTTAGGAAAGATATACAACAAGAAGAAAACACTAGTTCGAACTGTAAAAATTTATATGACAAAACTTCTAAAATTTAAAAGTTCGAATGACAAAACTTCGAAACTATAAAAGTTTGAAATTGAAAGTCGAAAGTGAGAATAGTTCGAACCCAAAATAAATCGAAATAGAACAAATGATCGAAATCGCATATCATCGAAACCACATATGAAGAACACATGGGAAAAATGACCAGTCACAAAAACTACTTTTCGTAGAATAAATAAAACAAAGTTTACAGATTCACAATTTTACGCAGTATGGGTTTTAATTTTAAGTAAAATACATATACTGTGATCATTTTATTCGAACTCCGACCAAACCATAAAAAGATTGGGTTTAAAACTATAATATGGCAGTGTTATTTCAGTTTTAAAATGAACTCTGATCTATTTTCCCCTGTACTCTTCAAATGTTTAAAACTACTAGTGATCGGAATAAAGCATTATATTACGAAATTAATAAATTAGTTGGTTTTTTTTTCATTTTATGTATATATTCTTTTTTCGAAACTACCCGCGATTGCTCCTCCAGGTCGCACAGTTTAGATAAATTAATTAATTTTTTATATAACTGTTTAAAATTCGGTTGCAAAATTTTACCTAAACAAAAATACAAACATTGCAAGACAATAAAAAGCTGGTAAAAAGTTCCATTGGAAAAATTTTCGAAAGTACAAAAGTTAGAAAGACAAGAGTTCGAAAGTGAGAAAAATCGAAACAAATGGTATAAATTGCATATGATCGAAACTAAACATGATCGAAATCAGATTTGATCGAAAACACATTTGTTTGAAATTACTAATGATGAAATGGTGTAAGATCGAAAGCATTATATTACGAAATTAGTAAATGAGTTGTTTTTTTTTTTAATTTTACTGATTTTAAATAAAAGCTTGTTTTTACTATTAATTATTTATTTTTCGAACTTATTTCACCAAAACTCATCTCAGATATAAATGAGTTAAAAACTTTCACACAAGTTTGTGGTCCCAACAGTAGACAAGACTGCAGGGTTTTTCTTTAAAAAACTTGCCAGTGAGAGCAATTGATGTTAAATCCCAACCGTCTGTATACTGGGTGAATCATCAAATGCGTTTTTGCCGATGAAGGTTACAGCAATGTTTTACTTTAAAAATGCATACAAATGATTCTTTTCGTGACATTTTAAATTTTTTAGAGTTTACCAAAGCATAACTACAGATCATGATAACCTACTTCTTTTACTATTTTTCATTTAAGTATTGCAGTTAGATCTTAAATATTATAATATTGAAAAAAAATACTTATTTAATTTCCAATTATACAGGATTATTCAAATGGTAAATACAAAAAATATTTAAATTCTAAGTAATAAAGATAACATGGACCGAAAAATTATGAAATGGCTATATATAAAAAACAAAGGTATATTATCAGTGACGATTGTGATATATAGAATTTGAAATACGTTTGTACAATAATTTCAAAGTATCCAAATACCAAAAAACGTATCCGGTTTCGGGACACTTACAAATTTGGCCACAGATACGGATACCGGATAAAGGGGTCTATTCTGTAACAATTCCTTTATATTTAACGGCCTTTAAAAATATTGGCGGCCTTTAAAATATTTTCGTATTCGTTAATTTACTTCTGTCATTACTTAAACAGATTTCTTTAAGATAGTTCTTTAATGTATTTTAAAGATCCGTTTAAATGACAGAAGTAAAGAAGAAAATATTTTTAAAGGCCGTTAAATATAAAGGAATTGTTACAGAATAGACCCCAAAGACTTTGAAAAATACCCAGATACAGCTTTCGGATACTGTATGATACTACCCAACTCAGATATCGGGTGGATGAAAGCAAATCAGACGATGATTTATATTTAATTAAAACGGTGGTTTTAGGTTAGAATGCTTTAGAATATCTGTTTCGATAAACACAAAAAAATTATATCCTTCAAAAGAAATTTTTAACATAGTCACACTAAAGACATAGGTACTAAAGATCTTTCTTATCTAGTTAAAGTATGTTACTTTATTTGCTAAATACCCTGTATCAAAAAATTGTTCTTAAAAATGTTTAGTAAAAGTTTCTCTAGATATTTTATGATTTTTTTTTCGTT